GCGAATGTGCCGCGGGCCGCACAGAAGAGTGTGGCGGCTGCAAGAGTGTTCGACACCCCTGAGCCAGACCGTTGCTGAAAGGAAAATCGGCTGCGAAGGGTTTTGGGTTTGACCCCCTTGGGAGTGTCATTACTCTGGAGAAGTGAGGGAACCTTTTTTGACCTCGATGCGCTTCCTTTCCTCTCTTCATCCTCCGTGACCTTGCCCCGCCCTCTCCCCTGCAGATCCTGGAGCCCGAGGTCCTGAAGTCCATGGGCGTGAGCAACCCTCACACCACGCACTGCCTCCCCAACGGGAAGGTCATGATCTCGACCATGGGCGACGAGCACGGCCGCGGCAAAGGCTCCTTCGCCACCTTCGACTCCGTCTCCTTCGAGCCTCTCGGTCGGTGTCCTGGCTTCTCCTTCCTCGGGGCCAGAGCTCCTTTACCTGCTCTCGCTCGCTAAACTCTCACTTGAGGTTCATCCTTTCAGTTACGAATTCTTAGTCACTGCAATGACGATTTCTCTTCACTGCGATTTTATTGTGAGACTCCTGATAGTGTTTTCATGTTCAGGTAATCACAATGCTTATGATCATTATATACTTATTTTATTTTATCTATTTATGTTTCATTCCCTCAGGACTCTGGACCAAGGACTCCTCCGACTACGGCTACGACTACTGGTACCAACCCACGCACGACGTCCTCATCTCGACGGAGTGGGGCTGCCCCTTGTCCTTCTCCAAGGGCTTTGACCCTAAGGATGTGGCTGCAGGCATGTGTCTATTATTTCTAAAGTTATTAATGTCATATTATTTTCTTTCCGTGTCTTTGTCTCGAGCTGAATTTTAGCGCCATTTTAGTTAGTATTGACTAAGTCTTTGCTCTCTCTGCAGGGAAATACGGAACGCACCTGAACGTGTACTCGTGGAGTGAGCAGCGACTTCTGCAGCGTATTGACCTGGGTCTGGAAGGCGTGATGCCCCTGGAAGTGCGGTTCCTGCACAACCCACTCTCCACGGAGGGCTTCGTCGGCTGCGCCCTCTACGCCAACGTCTTCAGGTGAGGTCGTACTCCAGGAGAGCGGTCTTTCAAGAAATCTAATGGACAAAACGTGAATTGCTTTCCCCTTGCTTCTTATTGGGTCTATTTCATATTTTTATTCTTGTTTCCGTGTAGGTTTTACCGCAAGGATGATGGGACTTGGGCAGCGCACAAGGTGATCAGCATTCCCCCCAAGAAAGTGGAAGGCTGGTCTTTGCCTGAAATGCCAGGTAAGGCAAGATCTGTATGCCCTTCCATGTGCTAAATAACAACAGTACCGAAGGAGACCTAGATAGATGGACCGTCGCATGGAGCAGTCCGAGTACGAGCACATAAGTTGAATTGCTGATAACTGTTCGCTCCGGCAATTCGCGTGGCGTTTGCTTATCCTACGGTCAATTTCAAGGTCAAGAGAGTACCACTTAATAAAACATAGTAGGATTCTTCATACCTCGGTCGGACCGATTTTGCGTTCCGTCGGATACACACCATAGTTTCCACTATTACCGCAACCCTGCGAATGCGACGATGGAGCCCAGACTTCGGATTAAAGGTTCGTTTCGCTCGGTGCTTTTATCGCTTAACGATGATCGTTCATGGATCAGCGATGGTCGTCAAACAATTGTCTAGAGCACTCCCGCAAGAGTCACGAATGATTATTATTGGCTCCGAATGGTCGTACGGCTGGGGTGAATATAATCGCAAACGATCATTTGAATTGGAAGGAGCGTCTGCATTATCATGGCTTCCAGGTTTTCCGATGATCGGGATGAGATCCTAGTGGGGGATCAATTTCTGAAATAATCCCTCTGCATTCCTCAAATCATATTTTAGATATTTAATCATCAACCTTCTCCTACTTCTACTCAACTTGTTCTAAGCCATTCTGGGGCACTGGCGTCACGACTGGTAGAAAATCAGCTGTCTCGTCGAAAATCACAAGCACAGACGCTCGAAGCAAAACAGTACACTCTCTGTTACCGTGTAGCCATAATCGCGACAATCACACCTAGCAAATCATACCTTAAAATATGTGTAACTTATTTATTGACAGCGTCTGCACTTCAGTTAAATTCTGCAAATCTATTACTTGTATTACATTTTTTTTTATAAATGCTTACATCATTGCTTATTAACCAACGCCAAAACCACGGCTCCAGCGTCGCATTCGATTCATCCGCGGTAAAGGGGGTGACCCTGCCCCTGTCGGCACGCTGGCTTATGCAAACAGTTTAGGGTAAATTCCATGTTACTTGCGTGCGCTCTTATCGCAGGCCTGTACAAAGGTGACTTTCTTATCTCCACGTGATGATTCTCGTCTTGCTGCTGAACCCTACCGGAACACTTCGTCGATTTGCGTCAAGCAGAATAGACCGTTTTTTATCTCAGTGATTTATGATATGTAATGATATGGTCCCTATCTGTGTCTCTGCATTAATTTAAGTGTAGATTTATCAATATATTTAGACACTGCAATTGATGTGGCCTTAGTCGTTAAAGGGGATCTTATTCGACTGAAATGAACTAGAGAACGTTTATTTACATTGCAATGCGGAAAGACTGGTAATTAGAGCACGTCTTAGGGCAGCAGGTGGAATCTTGAACCAAAAAAGGGATTCGAAAAGAACGACTGTGCAACCCCATACAAATGTTTTAAAACTGTTTTTTTTTTCTCAAGATCACGCAAGACCCACTCCTTGGTATTCCCAGTACTCACAGCTCACTGCCCTTCACATTTATAAGGATATTTTAACAAACAACTGATAACATATTTTCATGAAAATTTATGCCATATGTGTGTGTGTGTGGTGTGTGTGTGTGTGTGTGTGTGTGTGTGTGTGTGTGTGTGTGTGTGTGTGTGTGTGTGTGTGTGTGTGTGTGTGTGTGTGTGTATTAGATCATCAGCTTGTACCATTCCACTGCAACGGCTCCACCCCCTCTCCCGCAGGTGTGATGACCGACATCCTCATCTCCCTGGACGACCGGTTCCTGTACTTCAGCAACTGGGCCCACGGGGACGTCCGCCAGTACGACATCACGGACCCCGAGCACCCGAAGCTCGTGGGCCAGATCTTCCTCGGCGGCTCCATCGTCAAGGGAGGCCCCGTCAAGGTGGTGCACGACCTCGAGCTCGAGGTACGTGGCGAAGTGTCCGCCATTACCGCAAACCCTGCGAATGCGGTGATGGAGGCCAGACATCAGATGCTGTTGCTGTTGTTTATGCTAATAACGTAAAAAAACGCATGCAGAATAAAGGTTTATAACTGGTAACGATTGCGATCATGACAGTTGAATTCCTTTTCAATTTTCAAAATGAAAGCTGCTGTTTTGCGGATGACATGAAGGTTTAGAAAAAAAAGTTCATTAAGCATGGATAAAGCACTGAAAAAGAACATTATCAAAGACTGGCACATGTTTAATATTAAATCGATCTGCTGTATCTGTTTGTTGGCGGTAAAAATTCTAAGATTCTTAAATATTCTAAATATTCTTAGTAATCTAGAAATGTTGAACAATCACGTGCATTCAGACTTTAAAGGAAATTATTTGATTGTGTGTGTGTGTGTGTGTGTGTGTGTGTGTGTGTGTGTGTGTGTGTGTGTGTGTGTGTGACATCAAAAAAAAATAGTAAGTACCAGTTCTTTTGGAACATGGTTTGAATCTTCTCTATTCTTTCTGAATTTCAGGAACAACCCGACCCAGTGTACATCCAGGGCCGTAAGCTAGAAGGAAGCCCTCAGATGCTCCAGCTTTCCTTGGACGGGAAACGTCTGTACGTGACAGACTCCCTCTTCTCTCCCTGGGATCGGCAGTTCTACCCAGAGACCGTAGCGTAAGATAGATGTGTCGCACTCATGTATCCCTCATGTATTCAGATACGTCTCGGGTTCGCTTTATAAGCGTTGAGTAACTATGATTTGGACTGGAAAATCCAATAATTACTTCTGCAACACCGCATTCACAGTACTTTTCGTTCCACCTGCAGGAAGGGGTCGGTTATGCTGCAGATGGACGTGGACACCGTCAACGGGGGTCTGACCCTCAACAAAGACTTCCTGGTAGACTTTGGGAAGGAACCCGAAGGACCTTCACTCGCCCATGAGATCAGGTACGTCAGTTCGGGAAGATTAGATTGATGCAAGTATAGAGCTAGAATGTAGGATGTGACATTATAATTATCTGGCCAGACTGACTTTTAGACAGTGAAAAAGAATGTGCATGACCCCTAGTTCAAGGATCCCTGACCTTCACTGCCGCCCCCTCCCCCCCAGGTACCCCGGAGGCGACTGCACCTCGGACATCTGGCTGCCTGAAGGGTCCTCCGAGTGCCCCCACCGCGCCAGCAAGTGTGCCCAGTCCCAAATGCCTGCAAAGATTTAGTTTCCCATTTGCTTCTCCTACCGCAAGAATTTTATTTTTGCCAATGAATTCGGAAACATCGCTGGCTTGGGGAGGAAGGGTAAAAAAAAATTGGAATGACTCCTGATGAAGTTTTCTTTATTTGATGTTGCTTAACAGTTACACGCTGGGTACATATAACCAAATAAAAATGTGTGTGTTTGTGTGTGTGTGTGTGTGTGTGTGTGTGTTTGTGTGTGTGTGTGTGTGTGTGTGTGTGTGTTTGTGTGTGTGTGTGTGTGTGTGTGTGTGTGTGTGTGTGTGTGTGTTTGTGTGTTTGTGTGTGTGCGCTCGTGTGTGCGTGTGTGTGTTAGGGCTATTGCTGTGGTTTTGGGTTTGCTTTTTAATATACATCCTGTAAATTCCTTGATTTTTATTCAACTTATTTCCCTTCCTTTGCATCCCGACATTGCCACATAACTGGAATATACACTCATGCACACTTATTATATCATACACATTCTGACACACTCATACACACTTTTAATTTCTTATATACACTTCTACGCACACACACATGTATATGTGTGTATGTATGTATATATATATATATATATATATATATATATATATA